TTTATCTCATAAAGTTTATTTCATAATGTTTATCTACATATTCTATATTATATATAGATGCTTTAAAATTGAAGCAATGTGACAGGTTATACACTAGTATTAAGTAAAAAACAAATTGACTTTATATTTTATATCCAATTAATCAAACAGGTTAATTTTTAAAAAATTGTCAAATTCATTGGTTTCTACTTTTGAGAACCTATATTATAATATATAATTATATCTAAATTATATTCTACTAAGTAATATTACAATTTGAATTATACGTATTATTATTTTTGTAATGTCGTGAACGAAGTCACGTGGCAGTCATTTGTCACAAGATCCATACCCTGTTCACTGACGTAAGTTATTTGTAATTACATAATTAATAGGTATAGAGTTATGGGTGTACGAATAGTTAGAGGAATGAGATGATGTTATGATACGTATTTGGGTAAGTATAAGATTATAATGAAAGGTATATAAAGGAGACGATTCTAGGGTTTTTTGAGTTACTTTTTCTCTTTGCTGCAAGCTTGATGCAAGTCTAGCTATTCATAAATTCCTCCCACCCACCCAAAAAGACAGGTTAGGCAGGTAAGGACATGGTAGCACATCTGGACAAGTTGAATGCCAAGGACAATGGATAGCCGGGATGAACAGTTAGCGGGAAAATAAGCAATATAAGAATGATTACAAAGAGAAGGTTAGGAACGATTCTAGAAAACAGTTGGTGACCATGTGATGCAGCGAGGTAAAATCCCGTTTGTGTATTTCGTAGTATTGTTTTATGGGGGATCGAGTGACAAATTAATAAAATAAATTTCTTATATTAATTTTAATTAATTTATATCTTATTTTATAATAATTTTTAGTTATATCTGTATTTCTAATAAAAGCAACTGTCAAAGAATATAAAATTGTATATAAAATACCTAAGATATATTCTCAAAATTATTATATAAATAATACTATTGAACAATAAATCATTAAACTAATTATATAATTTTAAACTTTGGTAATTTAATTGGTTAACGATCACATGGTCAAAGTGCAATACTCAAGTTATATCTCTATATTAGATATATCTCCAAAAATGCTCTAAAATAAAGAAATAATATAACTTAGGTATAACTGTATATTAAATATTGATTCTGAACATACAATGCTGTGCATTTGCCCAGTCATAATACATTTCTGATTTAAACTCTAATACGTTACTAATTAAAAAAGATAATTAAAACTTATTCGAAAATTTTATTATTATGAACTTATTAAATTTTGTTATGTGTTATAATTGTAAAAAGTACTACGTATTCAATTTATGTAGTTGACCAATCACGAGAAGTTACGTAGCCTATAGATTTCAACATGGATATAACAGCAGAAACCGTTAATGTTACACGTATTAAAACTGGTGAGGGATGATATCCATCACAATTGAATCCAACATAAATAATTTAATTTATGATTGATCACAGGCGAGAGGGATTCACTTTGGATCGGGCGCTGTCTCTGCTGTTCATGGATATTCAAACCCATTTTGTCGATCTGGAGATCTGAAATAGCATAAATATTATACTAAATATTTTTTGAGTTTGGCTTAATCTCTAATAGATTAATCCAAAATAGATGAAACGGCTGCTTTTAAACGGTTACGTATCAATTTCTCGATGGCATTTCTATTTAACAATAATCATCATACCATATGAAAATTCGCTACAAAATAATAGCTGTAACTAACAAAATGCCAAATTATCACCCTTCGTGATGTAGTTAGATGACCTATCGGGGAAATTACCATCGGAAAGTTAAACGACGTCCTTCGAATGTTTACCATCAATTAGCAATCCGAAAAATACCATAGTATCAGAGCAATGATTATGCAATTTATATAAACTGTACATCAATAATCATTTCGTCTAGCGCAAATAAAATGTATTTTTCTTTGAATCTATTAAATTCATAATAGTCATAGTATAGGGAGAATGAGCAATAAATTTGTTTAGGGAAAATGATTTTGGGCCTTGAGTTACAATGTGCACTATAATGATAATGGCGTCGATCTGAAAACAGAATGTCGAGTATCTGATGTGGTACAGTACAGTACCTGTAGGGATGGTAAATTGCCCTGAATAACTTTTCGCAGATTAAATGACCGAACTTTTGGATTATTGGTTTCATTTGGAGATCCTTATATGGAATGTGATCAATTCCTATGAAATTAATAATGATAATGATCAATGTAATAATTTATTAATGTTGATATCTCGATATACTGTACTTTTATGTTTTTATAACTCTCTGGAAACTACATCGCTCTTTTCAAACTTTCAGTCTGGAGACAGCGATAATTTATAAGACAAACCAAAAAGATTTTGGGTAATGAGCAAATTTTTATTTGTCCCAAAGTTTTTTAAAATGCTATAAATCTTATTAAATCTGGATTTGAAAACAATATGCCACGTTATAGTGTTCCAAATCATTAGTTGAAAAGTCGATTAGTTACCAACTTTCCGCCTATTCAGGTTGATTTTTTTGGTTTGACTAATTATCTGAAATGTCACTATGACAAATCGATTAATTACAACTATAGTGACAACTTATCGATCGAAACACTAATCCAAATTGAGGGAGGTGTTAACATTATGAATCAATATCTAGAATTTGGTAATTATCAATGACATTCACAATAATTTTTTAAGTCAATTTAGATATTCATCGAGAAAACATAAAATTTACTATATATCGTTAGTTAGTAATAGTGATAATCGACAGGATACTATCGGCAGATACTGTTCATACAAAATTTTAATTGACAGATAGTTTAATTAGGGATTAACGTTTTTCTTAGCGAATGAAAATCATAAACTGTGAAAGGTAAAATAACAATCGACAGGATACTGTTCATACAAAATTTAATCATAGAAACCTGTCTAATTAGGGAATAAAATCTTTCTTAACGAATGGAAAAAGCAAGGTTTTAATTTTATATGAAAGATTTTTGTTTTTTTAGAAAGGCCTCGAAATGAAAGCCTTGTACCATAAAGATATAAATAAGGCCTGACACTTCACTTGAAGAACCAAAAAAAAATCAAGAATAATAATAATTAAAAAAAAAAAAAACTGTTATTCTCAACAATTTCTATTATACTACAATTCATTATTTTACTTCCATCAACTATCAATAATCTCCGAACAAATACTATTTATTTAAAAATGAAATTTCTTGCCACTGCCTTTGTTCTTTTAGCCGCCGTTGCCATGCTTGTTCAAGCATCACCAATGTTAGGACCACCGGGACGACGTAAATATCTTGACTTTTTTTATAAAACATGTTATTGCAATTACTGAAACGAGTATTAACATTTTATATTTGTTACTCTGATCCAGATGTTTTTCCTGTTATACCTCATGATCCAGAAGTTTCACCTCCATTTGAAAAATTCTTGCAAGATCACACTACAGCTGTTAAAAAATTAAATGGTACAATAAAGGCATTGAAAAAAGGACTTGAAAAGCATGAAAAGAAAATATTTGAAACATCCATAAACGATATTTACGGTGCTGCATATAATGTGGAAAAAGTTGCTAAGGAATTCGTGGATAAGGTTAACCGTGATTATAAAGTCGAGCCAATTTATAGAGTCCAGCCAATAGAAAATTAATTTTATTAATTAGTACATAGATTTATTGTTATATTTATATTATTAGTAAAATACTTATATGCTTAATTATTTAATTTACCTTTTTAATAGAGATATCATGGTTAATAGATTAAAAAAAAATTCTAATCGTTATTTGACAATAATATTTTAAAAAAATTCTAATCGTTATTTGATAATAATATTTAAAAAAATTCCAATCGTTATTTGACAATAATAAATTTATCTTATTGACCTTTTTTGCTTTTTCTTTAAACCGGAAATTGACATGTGGTGTCGCGGATTATCGTGAAATCGGATCATTGTGAAATTTTGGGGTCTCAATTTGAAATATTAGTCCTACGAAAGTCCACCTATAATAACACTAACTAAATCCTAACTTAACTATAAAAAGCCCGTGACATTACTGTTATTAAGACTATAAGAATAGTAGTGGTGTATGGTTTAATAAAGTAAGACTACATCAGGGCGACCTCGGTGTCGATGATCAGCGTACCACAGCTGCCGCAGCACATATTGTAGCAACGATAATCAGAACGTACCGGTATTGGTATTAGATAATCTTAATAGATAGAATAGAACACTACATACTTTTCGCTATGATCAAAAACAGTTTTAATGAAAAAAACCTTTTGCATATTCTATTTTATAAAAGTATTGAGTGATTAACATACTTTTTAATACAAAACATCAAAGATTAATAAGTTTATTAAATTAAAGTTTGAATGAGACAGAAAATAAGAATAATATAACAATTTTTAATTTTTGCAATTTTTGTTATTCATAATTCTCTAATCCATTATTATTTTATGTAGAACTTATTTAGGAAGTACTATAGTTAGTAGCATACAGTAATTATAATATACTGATATTATTATAAGAATTCTTTTATATTATTACTAGTAAACAATAATTAGCAACTAAAACTAAGCAAAGAGTATTTTTTTATAAACAAATTAACTATAATCTTTAACAAAATTTTGTTAACCAAGTTATATCTAATCTTCAAAATAACAATGTCTTTTTTACAACCAATACTACTTAATTACTCAAAGCTTCTTAGTATAAAATTCAAACTAGTATTATTATAACTGCTTTTTAATATATATCAAACAAGAAATTTATAGTCTACAATTTTTAATATATTTTTTTTTCTAAGACATTCAATTACACTTACAACTAAGCAATATTATAAGACAAGTTAAAGTCTCAATCTGTAATTATACCTTAGTGTTTATTTTTTATAACTAAGATATTGATCAACTTAATTCTTTTTATTATTTTAACATATCTATATTGTTTTAGAACTTTAATATTTTATCTAACTAGATAACTGTAACTAATACTAAATAAAAAACATTTTATTATATCTAAAATTTAGAAAATATTAAAAACATAAAAAAGCAATTTAATGACAATAGGACACAAATTGCTAACTTTTTTTAACAATCATTTGTACCAAAATTCTGCTAAAGAAAATTTTTATTTTCTTTAATAAACTATAATTAAATATTCCTTAAAATTATATTAAACTGTTCACTATTTAAATTTATATATATTTATAAAATTTTACATTACTAGTTTAAATATTAAATAAATTATTTAACTTTATTCTAAAATAACTTCAAAGCACTTATATTCAAATTCGGTCTAGGAAACTATCTTGTCCCTTAAGACAAAGTTGTTCAGCTCATCTCATGTTTCAACTTGATATAAATTTCATCAAAAATGGCCAAAAATTGATCATTTTATAAATAAAAAACTCCAAGCAGTTATATTCTCTAAAATTTTTTAAAAATTTTTAAAATTTAGTTCTTTTCTTTTTACTCCTTTCAAATCTAAACCCCAAACACATTTTAAAATATCATAAATTATTGGTTCAATCAATTGATAATTATTTTACAACTATTTTCTTTTAAATCTTTAATTAACTTACACAAAACAAATAATTACAAATTTAAAATTATACAATCTTATATATACTTTATATTATTTTTAGCAAAAGTTACACAAATCATACTGTATCATAAGCCACATTAGCTACCAGCCACACCAGCTACCAGCTACCAGCCACACCAGTCACTATTACACTAGCTACAAAAAAGTAATGCAGAGAGTGTAACATTACATGAACTAAAAATTACTTTTTTTTAAAGCTATCATCATTTTTTTTAATATTTTTATAAAAATAACAAGTCAGAATACCTACTTTAATCACAGACGAATCTGATTCTTATGACTTAGACTATTATTATAACAAATATCCAGATTGTTTTAGTATTGGCATCAAAGATTCTGATCCATTCACTTTATATATCTTACCTAAAGATGTTAAACCTACAAAATATGAAACTAATAAACAATAATATTACTTTCAAATGCCAACTCAACCTACTTTGTCTATTTGTCTTTGTGACAAATTTTATACAAATTTTACTTCTAAATATTACAAAACTACTTATACTATACCTTTTCGACAAACTTTTAAATCAATTGTAATAGATATTTCTTCAATTAGTATCATTTCTAAAAACTGATTTAACAACATTATCGACAAACTATCTAAATTACCTATTACTAAACAACAACAAAGTCTTCAATCAACTTCTCAAATTTTACTATCTTCTTTTCATACAGATCTATCACCTGTAGTAATCATTTCATATTCCCAACACTATCACTCATGCACTTTATATAAAAAGAAAGATATTCCTTACATTTTTATTCAAAACTCATGTCATGCACTTGACTATTCTCAAGCTATAATCTTTAAAGATTTTTTATATCATTGAGACTGTATTAATAGTCTCCAATGCATTAAACTTAAACTTCTTCCTCAAATTAAAGAATTTATTAAAAAACAATATTCTATTTTTCATTTTTATTATTTTTTCAAACTTACCAAAGAAGAAAAAATTAAACTTTTTCAAAAACTTGCTCTTAGAAATAAAAAAATTAAACAACAACCTAAATCAAAACAAAAATAATAGCAACCAAAAAATACACCAAACCAAACCAGAGATATTTCTAAAAATTTAGACTGGTTTCTTAATTACCCTATAACTAAAAATATGAAACAAAATACAAAACTTAATACAATACTTGCTTAATAACTTTTTAATTTCTCTAAAATTCATTTTTACAAATTTACTCCAGGTCAACCAATCCTATCTATTCCAAATAATACTTAATCAACTTCAAATCAAAAACCTTTTCAAAAACAAAGTTTTAATTATCTACTCAAATCTATGATAGCAGAAAAACCAGAATTTTATACTGACTTTTTTTACTAATCTAATCTATCATTCTCTCCTCAACTTAATATCTCTTAATATGTTTATATCTTAATACTTAAAAATTTACTTACCAAATTTACTAAACTACTTTTTATAAAACTTGATTATTTATATATTTTTCATTCTTACTACTCGATTCTACTTCATTCAATTTCTAATTAATGTAAAGTAGCAATCAACTTTGCTTGATTACATCTATTCCTTTATAACAAATATCAAACAATCCATTATCAAAACTTTATTGAAAAGTTAGAACTTTATCCTCTTAGACTCTTAATAAAATATAATTTTGAATATAATGTCTTAAAATCCTTATTCAGTATTTATAACAATAACTAATTTACAATTACTATTATTCTTAATATTTCTAAATCTAAATTTACTAATACCTTTCGAATCCCATCACTTAAACCCTATATTCATATTTTCAATACATGGTATGCAGACTTTTTTAAAGCTTACCAAAAACAATTTACTGACATTAATAAAGACAAAGTTAAAAATTACATTAAATACCAAATTGCAACCACACTTGCTGAGGAATGCAAAAAATTCTTACCTTTAAACTTTCAAATTACAGAACCTATCTCTCTTCAAAACTGCTCTTTTCTAACTACCAAAGCAGCACTCTTTTATGTTTATACATGCAAAGACAAAAACTGTAACTTTTACTAAAAGATACAGAACACAACTTTAAAAACATTTTTACTTACTTCTTTGACAAATTCTTTGAAACTTCACCAGTACTCTTAAAAGAAAATACTACTTCTAAAACAACATCCTTTACTTCTGACTATTCAATTTTTTTATTAGATCAATAATATACAGCAATATTTAAAAAAACTATCTTACTTCATACACTAAATGAACTCATACTTAAAGCAGACCAAAAGTTTGCAGAAATTAATACTATAAAAACTAATCCTAAACATACTATATTCTATCTTTATTTTTATCTTAAAGCTTACTTAAATACTGCAACTATAAATAACAGTATTACAGATCTTGAACTTAATTAAACTTTAGAAAAATTCATTTCATCTACTATTAATCTATATATCTTAGCATGCATAATTCTTTATTTTCATACTCAAAACCAATCTAAATTCTTTATTATACAAATTCAACTCGATTATGATTAAAAATATCTTTTAGAAGCAAAAAAATTTATCATTAAACATTATGATATTAAAATCTCTTTTATATATAATGTTACTCTTTTCTTATCCTCAACTGTTACCTTTAGTTCACTTTTTTAATAAATCCTTCTATAGATAACATTAATACAGCTGCCACTTCCAAAATAATGATGTTTGTCACTAAAAATATACTATTTTTGGAAGAAAATAATTTAAGTAGGCAGGCAGAAAAGCCTATTTATGCAAAGGACTAGCCTAATGATGGTCAGACCCAACATATAGGGCAGACTATAGTATCCTCTGCAACTGTGAAAACTGAATATATACCGAGTGCATCTATAGAAGGAAACTCAAACTTCTCAAATCACAATTCATTACATCCTTCTGAGAATCCTTTCACTGAAAATATATTTTCATCTACCTTTAAAAAACTTTATATATCTAACCTCTTTATTAACACTTCAATAAACTCAAACACTACTAACAATGATCAAAACTCACTAACAGAAGATCTAAATAATACTATCGACTCACTAACAACAAACACTATTAAAGAAAAAACCAATTC